TCACATGCGTTGTGGCGAATAATATTGACGTTTGCTTGAGAGCCTGTCCTCGGATGAAGAGGTCGAACCGACAGCCAGTCCTGACGGCTTGGTGCAAGATGCAGAAAGCATTCATTGAAGCAGAAGGTAAGGAGTTACGCATTGAACATCAAGCTATGGAAACAGCACAGAGTCGCGGTGGTGAATGAAACGGTTGCAAAAGAAGAGAGCTGCGATCCCTCTTTGCACCGCTGTACGACGTGTTAAGACTGGCAGCCCCTAAAATATTTCCTGTTTTCCGTGATGCTGCTTAGACAGGGTCGGTCTCTGTGTAAAGTCATTTGGAACGGCAAGATAAAAGATGACGAAATAACCCGTTGGAATGTATACCTTTGAGAGACGCAAATTATGAAGAATATGAAGGTAGCGTTTAGCCTCTGGTCGTCTCATAGCTTGGAATGTACAAATGAAGAACTTGTTTTCTAAAGCCCTCAATACTGCCACGAGAGTAGGTTAGTATGAGGTAGTTAACTCATTCAAACCTCACTTATGGCTACTGCACTCCGTTCGCAAATGCATTTCGACCAGCAACAAATAATACCGGCGTCACTAATCAGCCAACTCACCTAAAATCCAATCCACATGTTGTTCAGCTAGCAATGGCGCCTTCGCAGCCTTATCCCCCACCCATCTTCCTACCTCAATCAAACCCAGATTTATCAACTTCGTTCTCAGCAGTGGCAACAATCACCAATAACAGCAGGAGCATCAGACTCACCAACGACCTTGGCAAGTGTTTGTCATGTCGTTATCACCATTGGTGAATAATTTGCATTGGAAATGAAAGCCTTTCCTTTTGATGCCAGTGTTAAGTGTCCTCCTCTTTTAAAAAAACCCAATTATAATGACTTTAGTATCGCAAGCATTAAATTTTTCTGTTAAATCTTCAAGCTGTGAGTAATCCTCCTTCCGGCAGTGATAACCCACTTTACTCCTAACTCGACTGAATGTCAGTAAACAGCTGATGGGGTGTCAGAGTGATAGGATGATAGGTAGGTAGTTGCCAAAGTCAATTGAAGGCTTCAAGATTTCCAATGCGCCTCAATAAGCTCTCTTCCTGTGCCAACATATCTATTACAAGGCGGCTTCAAGTTCAACCACTCCATTCTCTTTTCACACGACCCTTACCATTTGCGATCTTCACATAAACAGGAATAGGTTTGTGAAATAGTGCGGTTTACTCGCACCTCAACGGACTTTTACTGCTTCTCCTCATCTTCTCGCCCCAGCCTTCCACGACGCTTACTCCCAACCTTGACGCTGTCATATGATAGTCCTCTTCTCAAAATCGTTCATAAAATAGAGCCATTTATTTACGGTTTATACTAAATCTTATTTCAGGATTGGGTTTGTTCGCCGACTGAGTGGACGGTACGTAGTTTTACCAAAAGGGAAGTTAAAAAGATGGGGCGCATTCGACAAAACTTAGGTCGTATATTATGAGCATTTAAATTAAATAAGTAGAAAGAGCGGATTTCTAAAAATTGTTTTACAACGCTCCGTAATAATACTAGAGCTAGCTCTATTATGAAAGACAATAAGGAATATTCGTTTAATCTTAAATGTGGTTTTAAATTACGGTTAAGCTGCTAAATAATATTCGAATAATATGTCTCAAATAACTCAGGAGAAGAAATGTTACAAAAGAGAAGAATATAAGACCAAGGAGGAAGAAAGCACTAAATTCACTGAAGTGTTCCATTATTTCAGATTAATGATGGCATGCGAGGAAATAGGAAAAAGCGATAAAAGCCGTTAGAAAGTGGAAAGTGTTTGTTGCACACCCACACGGAAACTAATCCGGACCGATGTAGCATAACATCGGTGGTCTGACGGAAACGAGAGTTCCCTACTTGATGTGGTCGCTGGTGTCGATACTGCATTCTTTTTTCACCATTCATCTTTCACCTATCCAAATAAACTGTTATTCTATCAATTCTGTCTCAGCTTACACCCTCCTCTCTTATCCTCACCAACATCCTGCCCTTCATTTATTACCCTTTGCATCCCTTTATCCCTCCAAACATCCAACCATACATGCCTGTGCAAAAACGCGCGTTCCAGTCGTCCGTTAATTTTCATCTTTTTTTTTCTCCCAGTTTAACGCTCTCTCCCTTACTTCTCCACTTCTCAACTCATTGTGGCGATCCAAATTATGTTACACATTCACCTGCAAGTGCAACAGCTACATTCCATAGAATTTCCATGCACATACTCCCGCCCGTCTTCAGACGATACCATCTTTAACACCACGACCACAATCACAATAACCTCGACCACATTACTTTGTAATTCAAATTATTTATGCATATCCCATGCAATGGAATGCCATGGATGCGACGCAACGGGACGCGATGCTCCAAGACTGGAAAGAATAGCACAAATATGTACGCAAGACATTGAGCGTTGATGCAGTTTTCGTGCTATTAAGTTGACTAGATACGTAGGAAAGTGAAGGTGCATGTAGATTACTAGTGATTTAAGTAGATTACATACCTAGGCAAGGGATCGTATGTGCAGATGGCAAGTTATTTATATCGCTGCATACATTTTTATTTGAGCATGAATGCCGTATACATGGACAGTAAATATATTATATACGTAATCAAGTGAATGGTGGTGCATATTTCCTGTAATTTGATTCGAATTTATACTTTATCCTGTGAACGCAAATGCTGATATCTTGTGGCAAAATTTGATTATTCGGGTAACTAGGGTGCATTGATACGGATTTCCTGAGAAAAAAAATCAAATTTGTAGGATTGTAAGTGCGAATGCAGATTTCTTTTGATTAAAATTTGATATATACCTATGAAAGTAAGCATAGTCGCAGATTTCTTGTGATTTATACCAGATTTATACGCAGACATGGTAGCATGGAAGCGAATATCTGGCAATTTTTATCGAAACTGTACTTATAAAAGTGACTGTAAAATACAGATTTCTTGTGATATTGATTAAGTCTAGAGTCTAAAGACTAGAATCTAGAATCCGTTGTTGCTGGCATCGTTACTGATTTGGTATAGTCCGCTGTCTTTAATTGTTGGCTTTGTTGGACCAGATTACCCATCTCGGGTAGGCTTTTCATTACCTTACGGCTTGCTAAGATTTTTGATCCACTAATCCTCATCCGATATCATTTATACATACAGATTTACTCCATAATTCCAATTTTGCTTAATCTTTAGAACAAAGGTGCGTGAGATGGTCTTTGGGATGTGTGCCAGCCGCTTGCACGTTACACCACACACCAGGCCCGTGACAGAGAGAGGGGCACCACCAGGGCAGCATCATGAAAATATCTATTACGTGGATGTTTACGATTTAGTGTGATGTTAGAATCTTCCAAGGTTCTAAGTGTAGTAGAGGAATGGCATGCACATTTAACATTTAAATCCAATTCATTGTTTTTCCCCCTCTGCAGTAAATGGAAGAGAAACTAGGCTGATGGATCAGTAAGTTGTTTGTTAAATAGGTAAATTTATTAGCAAATGGACGGCGACAGTCGATGAAAATTAAACAGCACCTGAAAACAGTTTTAAAAAGGGGAACCTCCTTTACAAACGAAGGTGAACCAACATAGAGATGAGAAGTGTGTGAACGCGCCCACCGGCTGACCAGTGGACAATGCCAGAGACTGGGACTTGGGGCTTGACCTGATTAAGAGTCACCCATAATTATAGTAACTAATCAAAATTGAACTTCAAATGTCCACTTGAGTGACTTATTGACAAGTCGAGTGAGCATTGTTAGTTGGTTCCTTCATACTGCCAGCTTCCGTGGTGTATAATGTGTCCATATTACCGGGGTTTGTCGCAACTCGATGCAGTTGATGCTGTCCAAGTCATGGCAGTTGCAGCTGTCTATGGGCACAAGAGCCTAATCTTCCCCTGTTCAACCAAGCGGAGTATAAGGGACTGAAGGTGGGTAAATTGTCGGCTGTGTGTGTCTATGTCAAAGGGTTTTTGCAAAGGCTGACAACATGAGTGAATTCACCACAGCATATGCGATTTCATTTGTGTAATGGGCAATCAACATAGCATATACAATCAAGAAGTGAATATCGTATCGTCAGAGGTTGGAGCGGTTTTTTCGGTACATCGTGCCCCCGTGCTATTTTAAAATGCAGCTCGGCTGTCAAAATATCGGCTCACTTCGATGAGCCTCATATTTTTCTCCCCTGTTTTGAAGACATTTGTCGCAAAAAACGGCGGGTGTATTTGACAAACCTGTTTCAAGGCGGTGTATTTTATGAACCAAATTTGAACTGGTTGTAACCTGAATGAGCCTTCCCCATATGATTTGCAAATGTGTCTAAATGATAGCAGAACGCATTATTTGAAATATATCATTTAAACTTTTGGACTTGTTGCATGAATTATTGAAGGGTAGTTTTATCACTCCCATGATTATTGTCTGTTACAAAGACAAATGAAAATTTATGCATCGCCATTGGCTAAAACAATTCTAGGCTAATATGTTAAGAGCTGATAGGTGTAGGTATTGCTTCAAGTGAGTGATTCCATAATACGTTGGTAAATAATATTATTTGTGGAAGTGCTAACCGAAACTGTAGAAACAACTCTTTGTGCTATAGAACTCGAACAATTGTGATGTTGTATTGGTTAGTATAAGTTTTCACCTACTGGGGCCAATTGAATCCAGATAAGACCTGTTTTCCTGGTAGAATTTAATGAAACTAAAAGTTGGGCGTGAAAACATTTGCTTCAAATGCGACAGACTTAGTTATGCAGTTGATGACACAAAAGGTTGCTACGTTAAAATGAACACGAGACCTCCTACCTCATGCTGTGGCAAAACTTGCTTACTAGAAATTTGGATGGGAGCAGGGAATTCTCCTCATTTGCATCCTCATCTTCCATATTTCCCTTTGTTAGTTCTTGCACTTGCAGTCAACCACCAGCTTTTCCTAGTTTTAGGCAACCATATGACGGCATGCAAAATAGACAGCTTGGCAATAACACTAGAATGAAAGCAGTCACGACTAGGTTTTGCGCTTCATATAACGAAAAGTTTTAGAAAGGTGGTACTCATAAGGGCTTACGTGGTTGGATAAGGGTTATAGTCTCCAACGTGGATGATTGTTACGAATAAGGCATTTGAAGTAGCCGTCTGTAGAAACTTAATTTTACTTTATTTTGCTTTTCATTTACCTCATTATTAATTTACCTTTGGTAAAACTTGAACATATCTATTTCGTAAAGCTCTATCTATTTTAACCTCTATGCATATCCGTTAACGAGGTTACTTAGTAAATTTCAAATCTTAAAGTTGAATATAAGGGAAAATCATTTGAACCAATTTTATACACAAAGAAGTGTATCAGTTCCAAAGCACTGACCAGAACTCATACTGGGCTTATATGACTGAAATGAATAAAACAATCCTTGCGAGAATTAACACAAAATAGTATGAAACATGATAGCAAAATGAAGATGCGATTTTAAGTAACTAATATTTGATGCCTTTCTGATCTGCAGGATCAGACACCAGTGAAGATAAAGCGATGAGTTGACGAACCCATCTACTCACCCACCCACACATCCATCTATCCAGCAGTCACATTCGTTTCAAAAGCGATTCAGTGATTTGTTTCCTACTTCAAGACCACAGGCCTTTTCATTACACAGAAAACAATGCATTTCTAGTTCGGTCAGGCAGTCAATCAGCCTCAGTTAAGTTGCTGCCATTTCCATGTATCAGAATCTAGAAGATGTGC